ATTGTCTTGAGAGGTGGGGCTTGATGGCGGTTATAGTGGAGGTGCAGTGAGGTTCACCATCAGCAATACTACAGAATACCAGGCAAAGCAGATTCAGGGCAGGGCTCCAAAACTTGGAACCACATAGATGGGAATATTTAAACGGTTTGAAGGCTTATAGTTAGTGGAACTTGTAGCAAAAGTAAGAAATCGCATACTTTTGAATCTGCCGGGCTCAGCGGCTTGGAGCCCACAACTTGGGCAAGACCAAGTGGCAAAACCAAGCAGGGAGAGCACACACATCACAGAAAAACGCTGTGGGAACCTGCTTTGTTCTAGTTATCTGTTCATAGGTCCCCCGCTGTTTGTGCACCTCCATTCTGGTGACTAGAGGGGGTGTCTGAGTGAGTGGACACTCCCCACCCTCACTACTGGTGGGTTCTTCTGCCACACACGCACACAGATACACTCAGCCCAAGGGCTGGCACTGAACTGTTTTTGTTTGTTTTTTTAATATGGAAAAGCCAAAACAAGGGGTGTAGAGAGAGAAGGAGAGTTTAAAAACAAAACAGGCCTAAAATTAAATTAAATCCTGAGGCACAGCATAACAACCAACAGTGGCATCCTGAAATCTCTCAGGCAGCTTTGAAGGCAAGAAGCTGAAGAGAGGACATTAAAGTCATACTCATATTAGGCTACAGATTTTTTTTTTCTTTTTTCTCTGCCTCCTCTTCCTTTTCTGTGATTATAGACTACAGTACCCAGTTTTATTGTTGGTGTTGTTCTTTTGTTTGTCCTCCTCCTCCCCCTCCTCCTCCCCTCCTCCTCCTCACCTTTGGAGGACTCTTCCTATCCCTATATTACCCAAGAAGAGACAGCAACTGCTGTCACATAGTCAAGCTACAATCATACTTTATAAAACACCAAAATCCAGGCAAGAACCAATACCGACTGCCATATGCCAGGGAGGGAGACAACACCTGTGAAAGTTACTCTGAGTTAAGCAATAAGAAGAGTGAAAAGGGAAGTCCACATCCTGATCACATCTACCTGGAAGCAATCAGAAAGCATAAAAAATATCAAAACACATACTCAGTTAAGTATTAAGGCCACAGATAAACACTGAACATGTCCAAGAAGCAAACTCAGATGACCACATCAGCACATGTCCAGAAACAAGATAAAATATCTGAGACAAATAACCTAGAGGTAGACCTGGACTACATTCTGGAAGGAGGGTTTGGAAATGCCTGAGAAGGAATTCAGAAAAATGATTATAAAATGTTTCCAAACACTTTACAATGGAGCTGAGAAAAATAAGGAAGAAGTCAGAAAAGTGCTACAGGTACAATCAAATAAGCATTGGAAACAATTCGAATCAAAAAAGCATTGGAAACAATTCAAAACTTACAGAAAGAGGTCCAAACGATCAATAATAGAATATCAGAAATAGACAATACACTGAAATATACTAGAATAGAAGAGATGGAAGGCAGAACCAGTGAGCAGGAAGACAAATATCTCAAAACCACTAAGATAGAAGAGCAAGCAGAAAAAAGAATAAAAAAATCTGAAGAAGGTCTAAGATTCACATTGGACAACATGAAGAGGAATAACTTAAGAATTATCGGCATTCCAGAACAAGAAGAATCACACAAGTCCACAGAGGAAATAGTTGAGGAACTGTGGAAGAACATTTCTCTAACATCCTGCAAAGTAAAAAGAAAAACATTCAAAAAGCTCAACGAACCCCAGGAAGGATAGACCCCACACAAAAGAAAATCACTGAGACATATCATAATCAAGCTCTCTAAAATCAAAGATAAGGAGACACTCCTGAAAGCAGCTAGGAAAAATAGAAGTGTTACATACAAAAGCAAGCAAGTCAGATGAACCTCGGATCTCTCAACAGAAACCATGCAAGCAAGAAGGCAATGGGGAGACATATATATAACCCTGAAAGAAAAAAACTGCCAACCAAGAATCCTTTATCCAGCAAAGTTATCAATCAAATACAACGGTGTAATAAAAACATTCCAGGATAAACAGAAGCTAAGGGATTTCTCCAAAGCCAACCCTGCACTACAAAACATCCTAAAGGGAGTTCTGTGGACTGAGAACCAACAAGAACAGATAACAACCAGAGATCGACATACGTGGCAACACCTCCCATAACTAAATCAACAGAAGGAAGAGTCAAGAACAGAACAAAACTATAAGAACAAACTCAGAGAATCTAAGAGGTCAGTCTATGATCAAAACAATTACAATGTAAAAGAAGGTAAACACATAGGAACAGATCCAGATGGTGAGAAGGTCAGGTAGATTACAGGATAAAATAGACTGCACTAAATGCATGGAAAAGTTAATGGACTATTGTTGTTGTTGTTAAGTGCCGTCAAGCTGGTTCCAACCCATAGCGACCCTGTACAGGGTTTCCGAGGGTGTAAATCTTTACGGGAGTAGAAAGCCTCATCTTTCTCTCGCGGAGCGGCTGGTAGTTTC